AGAAGGTGGGGGGGGGGCCGGCAGTCACAAGTAATCGTAAATCCCCTTACAGCCACAGAGATATCCGTCGTGGGGGGTGAATGGTGTGATCTGTGAATCTCCGAGAAACCGAGATCGTCAGTTCTTCAATCGCCAGTTGAGAGGGTTCGACTTGAAATCAGTGGCAAGCCAGTACATATTCCTTGTTATAGCGCAAGTCGTGAATCTGCTGCTGTTAGCGGGTTCTCCGATTCTTCATTCCCGCAGCACACAGCGCAGCGCAAACAATGTCTGATTGGCGCTTACAACCCTTTACCAAATCCCTGATTGTCCGATTTTGCAGAAGGAACGTCCCACCCGATTCCGCTGCTCTTCAACAACCATCCACTAGTGATCAATCACGACTGCGAGTACAAGTGAGCTGCTAACTTTCCCATGTGGGAGATTGTGGATCCCAAGAGAATGTCAATTTCAGGCTTCAAATGCACTCGAAACCTTATCCGTACGGTGATGCCGCCTATACAACCATCGAACATCACACAGTACACATTGTATTGACGGATTCTGCGCATGCAATGGTCAGTTGGTCCACTTTATTGGGGATGATTTTAGAGAGATTGATTTGAGAGGTACAGCCTAGCCTCGTGATCTCGTATGTATGTCCAGCTACTACACGAGCGATGTATGTTGTCCTCCAGCGAGAATCACTTGTTCTGTTTTACGATCGATTTTAGATGGATGGGAAGACAAGATTAGCAGCTGCTCCTGCCCGGCGCCCGTTCATCTTGTCCCATCCTCCCTAAGTGCTAACTCTGGAGAAAGATAAAGGAAAAGGTTAAAGTTCTAGCGTTGCTGACCCTCGATCGGAATACGCCATGGAGTCTCGTATAACTCGGCACTGGGATTGACATATTGGATGGTATTCGACATGCAGGACATTGGGGAGGGGCAGGTGGCGGGAGGGAAGCATGGAGCGTTGACTAATTGGCTTTGAAATCGAGTTCGCTGAGGTGAGAGCTGAGGGGGTGTCGAGGACCTCCCAAATTCATTGTATGGTTTGGGGTCGTACCAAGACATCCCCGGAGAGGGTAGGGTCGCAAACATTTTCGAGAAGTGGGGACGCGGCGGCTGGTTCAGCCCTGAGAGGGGGAGGGAGTTTGATTGTCTCAGCGAGTTCCCATCCGCCATTCGACTCTCAGATAAGCTACCAGCAGAATCCGTCGCGCGGCAAGAAGGCAAGGTTAGCGGACGAGTTGCAGCGCATACTGAAGTGATTTCGCGTCATGCTGAGCAGAATGCGCCATTGGTGTGCGTTATATGGCCGAGTCCAATTGCATGAGCGCACAGCCATTATACCAATCCTTGCTGATGGCCGGACAACTAGCCACACGCAACATTCTGTTCCGTACTCTTGCACTTGGCATCAGGCCTCTGCCGAAGACTGTCGGCCGCTTTTTTAAAGGTCAGTGCGGGGGCCGTCGCGCCCTAAGGTGTCGGGGACCCACATCGACCCTGCCGGAAGAAACTTCTGCTGGTTGCCTAATCCTGACTCGTAGTTTCCAATTCTTGGACTCAGCGAGATTTTGGGACTTAAAATAGCAGATCGATCAATTACAGAAGTCTAGTAGTTGAGTGATACGGACGAGTTGTCCGACCGCAGCAGGATGGAGCGATTGCTGCCAGTGCGCTCTAATGCCAATGGGATCGCGCCATATGACCGCATCCCTGCGCCATTTACGTCCTACATCGCACATCGCCAGCTACGACTCGTCCGCTAACCGTTCCGCAGGCCTCCTGTCTGTACCCCAGTTTAAAGGCACAACCCAGGCAGAGATCGTGTGAACGCTTCCTTACCCCTATGGGATAATCACTTATGTGGCACTCCCGTGCACGGAAACCAACCGACAAAAGCGCTTGGAGCGCTTAGAGCAAAGTAAGCTGCTAAAGCTGCAGATTTTTTCTCTTATCAGGCTGTTGTCTGGCGCTCTCTCATCTGTAGCGCTCTCTCGCCTCATACTCTACTCTCTGCGCCTAGTCTCTCATCCTAGTCTCCCTTCCCTTAGCACAGCCGATTAGGAAGCAGGGTCAACCGTCCGTTGGACAAAGTCCAACGCATGGCTCTCTAGCGTGTGAGAGTAATGCCGAGAGTGAACGTACGCACGGAGACACAGACGGCTCGCGCAAGGCGAGTGCGAATGCCGGCGCGGAGAGCGGTCAACGTCGGTCCAACGTCGGTCCAATGTCGGTCCAACGTAACGGTTGACCCTGTTGGAGCCGACGCGAGCGTCAACTCGGGCTTTTTCGACCGATTCTTTTCCTTTTTTCTTTACAGCTGGCCTATTTCGCACCAATACATTCGGCATTCGTATGCAAGAGCCACACCAATGTGATCCTTGAGCGTGGCTCGAAGGTGAAAACTTATACAATGGAGCGGTACATTTTTCAGAGCGGAGCCGGTTGAGTTGCCGTCATCACTGATGGCCACTGAAGTCTATGGAGGAGTGGAAATCACATGGAAGCACAATCCTAAGCCGGAGCGGGTTTATACCTTCTATATAACTCTTCATGAACGGTGAGTTGTCAACCTGTTTTTTTGTTCCCCCCCTTTAAAATGGCCCGGCGCCTCCTTATTTCCAGTTTTCGCCCGCCAATAGAGTTCAAAGATCCGAATGCGTTTCGATATCGAATCGCCGATGATGGAGAACGAGAGCTGAGCGGAACGAAGGTACCGTGACAGCTGTCTTTCACTAATAACTCTCAAAATCCCGTGCTTCCTCGTTGTAGGGCCAAGTGAATTACACGTATACGTTTGACTACGATCTGCAACGACTTGAAGAATACAAAGTGACACTGTTCGCCGAGGATGACCACTACTGTCACACAGACGACGCCACCACCTACTTCAACACCTCGGCCATCGAACCGATGTTACCACCTCGTGCAATCACGAGAACCTCATCTTCATCGTTGGAGCGCATCTCAGAAACACAATCCATTCCTCAAAAGTTCAACACTACCGCCGCTTGGTAAGTCTAGCAATGTTCGGTCAAATCATTCCACTTTAATTCCAAGTCGCTTGTAAAGGTGAAGTGCAGAAACGACCAAAAAAATTTCCAGACAAATGACTAAAGTCCTTAAAAGTACCCTTCTCTGCTGGTTTCTACCTTGGGCGAAACTCATCTGCTCCAAATCTCTCAAAAAAATGCTGAAGTCCGTCGGAGAGGGATTAGCAGTAGAGAGCAGAAAAATGGAACGCGGACAGAGGCATGAATGCATTCAAGGGGACTGGGGTAAAGTTCTCCTATGTCGTCACGGGCGTCACTCCACTCTACCGCAAAAACGCCACCGCTCAACCCCCAAGCAGGGTCAGTCCTATCGTTGTTACTTTTTCAAAAATTTTTACGACCCCCCTCCCCAAGGTGGACTTGGTACGACCCCCTTTTCGACCCTCGACCACCATATTCCTCTCTATAGTATTTAATTCTGGTACCACTCAACCCACCAAACTCCGCCCACTTTTTCCTCCAAAAATGCCGTCGAGCGGGGGGTATATATACGCGCGCTGAAACGGCGAATTTTTCTCCCGTGCGCTCCCAACTCACCTAGCCTACTACTCGTGAAAACTCCACTTTCACCACAAACTCACATGTACTTTCACGCGACTGAAGCGGATACGACCCCCCCCTCCTATAAACTCAACCAGGTACGACCCCCCGTTGTTACTAGTAACAACGTAGGATTGTTGACCCTGCCCCAATGCGCCCGCGTTTTTCAAGCAGCATGATGGAATAAGAGAATGCGCAAATATGGCTAGTTAGCATTCACGTGAGAATTGTGTTTTGTTGTTGGAAAGCAGTTCATGGGGCGCCCAGCATGCAATATATATTGTAATTCATTGGATAATTGATCGGGCAGCTTCGATCTCGAGTTCATATTGAAGTTCAAAGGTAGCTAAGCTGGCCTATGAACTAATTCAAGGCACAGTTTGCAATAGCGGAACGTGAGAATGGGATTAAAATTAAATAAAGTGATCATTTGGCCAAGTTCAACAGCCGCAGGGCTCTCAATCTACCCTCCTTTCATACTTTTGCTTTTATCATCTTCCGATTCAACGTCGAAGAAACGCAGAATGTTGCTAAGGAGGAGCAGACGGTAAAGAACAAAATAAAGAAATGAGGGAATGACACCGATATGGTCCATTTGCGCCTAGTCACACGCTACAAAAATTAAGACCGTTGTCCAACGGACAACCCAGGATTGGCTCAGCCAGGTAGAAACGACGATTGGACAAATAACCTATACGAAGTTAAAAGCAAGGATAAAGCATTTGCCGTTGATCAATCCCTTTTTGGGATGCGGCACGCATTCTACTTCCATTTGTACATTAGTGGCGTTTGAATGCGATGTGGCCTATACAATGACTTGCGGGGGCCAGCCGATGTTCAAGTCAGTGTTTTTATCCTCCCAGACAAGTCTGGTACCAATTAACCGACCCCGGAGGGATGGAAGGCTTGGTTGGCCCGAGGATTTGATTCCCGACCGCTCGCGTGTAAGCGTGCCACTTGTCACTACACCACTTCCGCCCTTACTCACTTAAATCCGAACTTACTTTGTAGTATTTCAAGTTAGGCCCTGTAACTTTGGCGGTTCCGAGACCAACCTTGAAACTCGTTAAAGACTTCTTTGCCAGGGGGTGGCCGGTTTGTGTGTGTGTTGGGGTGAGGCCTTCACATCTGTCAGATCAGTCAGTACTGTACAAAGCGTATTATACTCCGTTTTAGCTTGCGGGCTTACCTTTCACGATGCTTCAAGGGGGCGTCTTCAGGTTCCTAGCTGTCCCTATGCGATGCGCATCCAGATGCGCATTGGATGAGATACCTCAGAGTTCTGCTTGGTGCTACGTTTTACGATCAGGTCAACGGCCCACGTAGGGGAATGCTTCACTCAGCGCAGCGTGTCTTGGAATGGACTGGAAATTCAGCCTTCGGACTACACTAGGAAGGTGTGGACCGAGATGAGAGAATGGGTCTCCATCCTATCTGCTAAACTGTTCCAAGTCTTATGCGTAGTCTATCTGCGAATCTTATTGAAAATGTGTTCACAGGGTTAGTCAAAGAAGTACCGAAACGACCTCGGAAACCTAAAAAAGCTTACCTATTTTAGGTGCTTCAAACTCTACCGACCCATCACTCACCTCAACTGTCGGTGATTCGGTTGAAATCGAGAAGACCTCGCCTACCTTTCAGCAAATTCCTGCAATTTTCAACGATGTTAGTTTGGGCTTTTTTCTTTTTTGTGCTTTTTTCTTTTTTTTTGGGCTAGAGTAGAAAAGATTATAATAGTCACTTTCGCATGAAGATCGAGTGCCGGCAACGTTTCACCGTCTTTTTTGCTAGACTTACCATGTTGAGTCCACTGTGCACAATTTGTGTGTACTGTATGTACCGGAAGCGACAAAGTGCCAAAAAGAGGAAGATGCCACGTTTTGGGCCGTGGACGTTATCCCATTCGAGGTTAGTTCTATTTATAAAAAACCTTTCTGTAACTATCGAGAAATATCCAAGCCTTAATCCTCTTTCAGGCATTCCATCCTTGAAACGAACATCCTCTATCGCCAACCAATCGAATTCCGAACTCCACAAACCGAAGAGGAATGGCTCATTCCCAGTGATGATGTCAGCGTGGGCGGCGTGATTGGTAAGCACTGCTATGGGTTGCTAGCCGGTCGGCTCGTAGCTTATGCTAAGGTAATCGCCATAAGGTACTTGGTACACACCACAACATCGAATGGTAGTGGGGTCACAGCGAGATCGATAAGGTAGTTTGTAATGACGTATGACTAAAAAAGAAGAAGGGAAAGCAAAGAAAACTTCATGAAGCGTTAAAGAGGAGTTCCCTCGAAACAAGGAAGGGGCGGGGCGGACGAGTTGTGAACTTGCCTTGATGGCTCAACTAGTCCGCGCATACTTGAATTAGCGGCTGCGCCGTAATCCATGTTGTGTGTCATGGGGTGTACGCTACGTAACTCGTCCAAATGCTAAGATTAGATCTCATAGGTTGACTTTGTAATACCCTAGTCTTTAAGACTTCATTGCCGCGAATCTCGACCGCCAACAACGGTACAAGTGTAACACCCGAGTGGACCCTCTATCCTGAATAAATTCTTCGACACGGACTTCTGCTGGAGATGTTGTTTTAAGATGGATGTCAGACTTGGCGATTGTGTGGGCAGCAGGCAGCGACTGGCGCTGCCGCTTGCGCCCACAGTCGATACGGTCTGCCGGCAGGGGCCGGGGGTGGGAAAGGGTATATATGAAAGATTACCTAAGGCTGATGGCAATATGGGTGCAAAAATTTTCGTCAATTGGCCACAACGAACGGTTAACCTTGTCTGTTGTATGATTGGCTGGGGGTAGTTTTGGGAACCTCGATTAATTTACCTGCATTGATCTTCCATCTTCACGTCCTGTAAATTAAAGGAGCTTGGGTAGAGGAAGTAATTCTTAAGTGGCTCTCAAGGCAGCGTTCAGAGTTGGCGATTTGGCGACCGTTCATACGATTAGGCGACCGGGCTTCAGTGTATGTGAAAAAGGATACGTATCGATTAGGCGAGTAGGCGATTAGGCGTGTAAGCGAACAAGAGATTGCTCAATGGGCGGGGCATCAAATCAATACGTATCCTTCTCTTATGACCTAATTGCTTACTCGCCTAATCGCCTAATCTCCTAATTGACACGTACACTTTTTTAAACATCGCCTGATCGCCTAATCTCCTATTCGCATGTTCTATCGTCAGCTCTGAAGTATGCCTAACGATAAGAATGATCAGTTCTTCAGCTGTCCAGCTTTGAAGATTCTGATATTTTTCCCATAATTCTTCCGTGTTCTCGTTCGTTCCCTCTGTCTTGTTCCACGTGGACTTTTTTCTCATTTTCTACATCTCCAATTAAAGTAATGTTTAGGAGAGGGTGCATTTGGCCTGGTCTGTAAAGGCACGATGAGTGGTCCGAAAGGAATGGCCGTTCGGGTGGCGATTAAACAGCTGAAAACGAATGCCATCGATGAAGAACGCGAGGAATTCCTACGCGAAATGGATATCATGAAACAGGTTGGTCTACCAACGCAGTTTACTGGTTACCTATTTGTTTGGGCCTTGCGATCGCGGCCAGGGTGGGCCACTGTCAAGGATTCAGGGTGTGGCAATTTTCCAGTAGATTTTTCGAGAAACGCTGAAGATTTAGCAGAAAATTAACATTTTCCCTTGAGTTGGCCTAGCTCTCATTTTGAGGAAAGGGAGGGTGTACATTTCCAGGTGGGATTGAGCTGACTTCGTGGCAGAGGTACGCCATGAGACCCAAGCTGTGATAGGCTATGGGACATTCTGGCCTCGACGCAGTATTGCCCCTCTAAGGGAAAGGGGGCATTTCCAGCGAAATTTGCCGCTCATATCGTTAGTGGGGGCATTTAAGTGAGTGAGCTGCTTGCAGAACTCCGCACTAAGCCTCAGGGAAGGGAAGGGATTCTGACAAGAACGAGGACGACCTTTGTTCTCCCTGGCGTTCCTCCCCTCTCCCTACTCCTGAGCTTAGTCCCAGTATCGCTTAACAGCGTTTTTTGAACCCTGTTTTGGATGTCCTCTCTAAGGCCATGATTGCCCGAGATTTTCACTTTCCTACACCGCCGCTCGTTTCAGGTTGGTCGTCACCCAAACATCGTGACGATGTATGGGCTCTGTGAAGAGCCGGATTTTCAGTGTATGGTGATGGAATATGTGCCTTTTGGCGATCTCAAGCACTATTTGCAAAATCTGCGCAAGCAGGTGAGCTCTGTGCTCTCTCGAATTTCAGTTCGTTTCTTTATATTATAGTTTGGAACCAACTCTCCTGCTTCAAGTGTAGGTA